ATGTTAGTTTAATGACTCGACATATCACAGAACCTGCACCTTCTGTCTCTACTCCCAGTTCATTTGTTATTTACATAATATATTATTTGATGTTAGTTTAATGACTCGACATATCACAGAACCTGCACCTTTTGTCTCTATCCCAGTTCATTTATTAATTACATAATACATTATTTGATGTTAGTTTAACGACTCGACATATCACAGAACCTACACCTTCTTCCTCTATCCCAGTTCATTTGTTAATTACATAATATATTATTTGATGTTAGTTTAACGATTCGACATATCACAGAACCTGCACTTTCTGTCTCTATCCCAGCTCATTTGTTAAATACATAATATATTCTTTGATGTTATTTTAACGACTCGACATATCACAGAACCTGCACCTTCTGTCTCTATCCCAGTTCATTTGTTAATTACATAATATATTATTTGATGTTAGTTTAACGACTCGACATATCACAGAACCAGCACCTTCTTCCTCTATCCTAGCTCCTTTGTTAAATACATAATATATTATTTGATGTTAGTTTAACTACTCGACATGTCACAGAACCTGCACCTTCTTCCTCTATCCTAGCTCCTTTGTTAAATACATAATATATTATTTGATGTTATTTTAACGACTCGACATGTCACAGAACATGCACCTTCTATCTCTATCCCAGCTCCTTTGTTAAATACATAATATATTATTTGATGTTAGTTTAACGACTTGACATATCACAGAACCTGCACCTTCTTCCTCTATCCCAGTTCATTTGTTAATTACATAATATATTATTTGATGTTAGTTTAACGACTTGACATATCACAGAACCTGCACCTTCTTCCTCTATCCCAGTTCATTTCTTATAAAGCCAGATCTTTTCTGTTTGTGTATTAACGTTTAAAAGGAGTACTAAGGCACAGTCTGGATCTTTTATATTGAGTTTTTTTATAATTCAGATTAGTATAATTGAAATGCTTTGTTTTGACTTTAAGAAAGTTTTATATTATTTTCCTCATAACAAAAACTTTCACAGTCAGAAGTAGTCAGAAAATGCATGAAACTGTTTGTACTAATTAAAGTAATCGACTGAATACTCTTTAGTGTAGTATTCAATTTATTAATAAATGTGCATATCACAAAAACTACTAATCAGAATACAGAAGATGCCGCTGGTCACTATTTAATAATAATAAATGTTCTGCATCTAGTAATATATGAATACTCCCTTTATAAATGTGATTTGGTTTTTTTCTCCTCATTTTGTCATAATTTATCTCTTTCTTTTTGTGGCTGTTTCGTACATGTTCTTAATTTCGGCATCATTAACACCTGGATCCATATGATCCAATGCGTATATTAGCGCCACCTATATGTCTATAAAATAGAAACAAAATCAAAGAATGATCGACTAATTTCACGCGAGGTTTATAAAACTGGGTAAGGTGCAGTGCATACACATTCTTCTTGGAATATTTTAGATTAAATTTAATATTTTAAATATGAAAAGTGAGTTATAAGGTATACACTATCCATGTGAACTTTTAACTTTTGATAACAAAATCAATGTTTTTTTACAAAACTTATTTTTCCTATATCTAATCAGTTCCTTAGTTCAACGTATTTGTTAAATGTTATCTTGTAATATTCACAATATCTGATATATTTTCTTAATATGTGCATGTTATGATTTAATTATAATCAAAAGACATATATATATATGCTTTTTTTCAAACTCTTATTCTTTATTGGTTGAAGTTCTCTAAAACTAATAGAAGTTCATCGGTCAATATTTCATATAATGCTGACCATACAGTGCTTTTATTAATGCTTTGTTTCAAATGCATAATTCTAGCTTCTAAGCATTGACTCATAAGAAGTACAGAATGCTTATTTAATAGCTTTGTAAAAAACGTAATTATTATGAATGTTTTTCTGATGAAAATGGCTTTGAAATAATATACAAGTTTGAAAGAGAAAAAAATATTTCCGAAACGTTTATTTCTCTGTTCTCAATAATAGTTAATATTTTGCTTATATTTGTAAGCAATAAACGGAGTGTACTTTTCCTGTTATCTAACATCTATAATCGAGTGTAGGTGTGATTTAATTCTGTTTCAAAATGTAACCGCAATTATAAATATCGCAAAATTCAGGATTATACCCACGATATTACTCCCAGTAACTCTCAGGAGTTGTAGCTCGAAGCCCGACATGGCCAGGTAGTTAGGGCGCTTGACTCGCAATTTGAGGGTCGCGGGTTCGAATCCCCGTCCCACCAAACATGCTCGCCCTTTCAGCCGTGGGGGCGTTATAATTTGCAGTCAATCCCACTATTCGTTGATAAAAAAGCAGCCCAAGAGTTGGTGGTGGGTGATGTTGAGACTAGCTGTCTTCCCTCTAGTCTATCACTGCTAAATTTGGGACAGCTAGAGAAGATACTCCTCGAGTAGCTTTACGCGAAATTCAAACCAAACCACAAATGCAAATTCATTTTAATAGTATATAAAATAGTATCTTATTGTGTCTTTATGAATGGCCCTCCACACTCGGAAACTCACTCCTCCTGTTCATTAACTGGTTTAAGAGTTAAACTCATTGTATATACTCTCAACCAAATTAAACTGTGGTCACATTAGCTCTTAATATTTCAAATTACATTATTGATGCTAGGGAACTTGCGGGTTTATTTAAAAACAAAGTTAGCTATTAGTAAACACATTTTTTGCATTCTCAACAAGTGTTGTTGAAATCCACCAATACGCAGGCTGGTTCAAAAACTAAAGGTTAAGCACTATTCCATCACGTAGTTTTTGATAGTTGGCAGAGTTCTTGGTGAGTTTTATAAACTTAGAGATATATTTGAATTAACATATACTTTAAACAATACTGTATCAGCTTCTAACTGCGTTATTTTTAATCACATCATTAGCAGAATTTCTCTTCATTCTGCTGGCATCCAATGTGCATTATGTAAATCTGCTTTTCAATTATGCATGTCCTCGTTTCTATGGTTTCATGTTGAGGCTTTCATGTTTGGAATTTAGATTTCACGCCCATAGGATGGGCGGGGTTTTGAGTACAAATGTTTAACTTAAACTGTTCTATGAGAAACCTCCTTAGGAACTTTTTTGTTATTCTACGTAAAAAATACTTTAATTGTGTTTACAAATACTTGGAAATTCATTAATTCACTTCTTTTTTTTTCTTTTTTAAACCGGACTCCCGTCTCCCGTTTTTGGCTTTGGGTCACTATAAGCGAATTCTCCCTTTGAAAACTCGTGGCTAGAGGCCCGAGTTTACTTTTGTTCTGCTTGTACCTGTTTGGATGTTAGTCATAAACAGAAAACAAGAAAAACATCTCTACTTTCTTTTGAGCAAGCATGCTCCAACAGGTGGTGCTACTAAAAACTTAATTAAATTGGTTTATTTTAATCTTATAGTTCCGACTGTAAAATTAGTAAGAGTACGTAGTGTAGGCTCTAAACCAGAAATAAAATGTATTGACAAACAAACACACACACATATATAATTACACTTTCCGCCCTCTTGCCCCCCCCAGTGGCACATCGGTATGTCTGTGGACTTATAACGCCAGAAATCGGGTTTCGATACCCGTGGTGGGCAGAGCACACAAAGCCCATTGTGTAGCTGTGTGATTAACTTCAAATAAACAAACAAACTTTCCACCCTCAACCTCTTATAAATACAACAGTCTTCTCTGCTCTTACTGATTATTATAAAAAGGATTAAATAAGCACCCCAGTGGCTCAGCGGTAAGTCTGGAGGCTTATAACGCTCAAAACCGGGTTTTGTTACCCGTGGTGAGCACAGCACAGGTAGCCCATTGTGTAGCTTTGTGCTTAACAAAATGAGTTAATATTTAAAGTTTGATGGAAAAGCAAATTTTACTTTCAATAAATCGCTTCATATTAATCAATAAATATGAAGAGTTGAAATAATATTCGTCGCGCGCAGATGTGCAAGAATAGTACACTTAAATTTCTACTAAAAAACACCATAGAGGTTAGATTCTGTAGCCTTGAAGAATAGTCCCTAAAGTTTACACTGTAAATTATTGAAATGGCTTATCCGAGGTTCGTCATGGGTATCCAATCTTGTGTTGGTTTTTATACTTTATTAGGATCGGAGGCGTATTCACAGAAGATTACTTGCGTCAGTAAAGAGCCATCTACTGTCCAACATAGTACTCATTTCAGTTATACATACTGACTTAACCATCACCAATGGCAAAATCTCCAAAAGATGTCTACTACCAGATGATATTAAACACTTTTGTAAAATACAAATTTTGAACACGCCGTTTACAATTTCGCGAAGTTCATTTGAAACTATCCTTCCACAACATCACGTTCATCGATTACCTGAATTGTGTTATATTGTTAGGCATGATAAGTCGTTTGTGTATAAGTTTCTTGTAAATAAATATGAATTTTTAGTCTTTTGTATGAACCTAAAGAAAAGTGCTCCGCGTTTAAGTTTCAGAGACAAAAATTCCACCAAACCAAAGATAATGATCGATAAATATAAGTTTCGGTTTGCAGCTTTTTATGTCAATATTATTTTAGAAAAATAAAATAAAAATCTCCCGCAACTTCATTGTTTATAGATTCCAATATTACATTTCTATATATATTTGTGGTTGTACATTTTTATGTTTACTTTTATCAAATTTCTTTAAATTAACAATAAGCTACCTATACTGATTGGTTTTATCTGGTCCATAGGATGCCACAGGGGCTGTACTAGACAGGTGGACACTGGCAAGCCGAGAAGAAGAACAATTAATTCTACAGCAGTTCCTTAGATTCGGAGAAACTAAGTCTATTGCTCATCAATTACTCCTGCAGGAGACCTGTGAAAAAGGAGACTATAGCGTTCAGCCACCCAAGACGGATTCTGACATCAGAAAGTTCATCGAGCGAACAAACAGGGTGGTCAGTTCAGACTTGTTTAAACATAATAGTTTCTCCCCGGTGACGACGAACATGTCTTTCTCCCATCCTTTCAGCAAGTCAAGTATACCATACCCTCCCTCTAGTGTCAGTTCCACTCAGTCTCTTTCACCTAGTGGAGGTTCTCCGTTAAACTCTAGCAGCCCTCTAGCAGTATCGCCTTTAAACAAGCTCCAGAACATGCAACCTTTCGATTATCGACGAGAGAAAATAAGCCCAGAACCACGTAGCCACGACATACCATCAGCTCTTCCACTTACCCAATCTACTCCGGTGACCTCCTCCACAACCTCCGTCCCGAACCTATTGTCCGTTACAACAGCGCTCACAAATCATGTTCCATCAGTCACAGTAACATCTGATTTTAGTGTTACTGATGGCGGTTCTGAGGAAGATAGTAACACAGTGATGAACCTCAGTCAGCGAACCAGTCATAGCTTGGATTCTATATACGCTGCTAAGAAAGTGAAGCATCTCCGTAAATCCACTAATCCTATGAAGAGGAAATGGAACCCACTGATACTGAGCACCATGGCAACTAATCCCACCACTGGTAAGAAGCGTGTCCAGTGCCACGTGTGTTTCAAGACATTCTGTGACAAGGGCGCCCTCAAGATCCACTTCAGTGCAGTACATCTTCGGGAAATGCACAAATGTACAGTAGAAGGATGCAATATGATGTTCAGTTCTCGAAGAAGTCGTAATCGCCACAGTGCCAATCCCAACCCCAAACTTCATACACCAAACTGCAGAAGAAAGCTCAAACCCCATGACGGTCGATCTGCCCATTTTCCGGTGCTTCCTCCTACATCTCTCCTAAACTTCAACAACAATATGCTTCCATCACCCACTGCTCCACTTCTCGATAGCAATACCTCGAAGATGACAGACCAACCTCGAGTTAATACTCCCTCACTTGGCAGTATTTCAAGCCTTGTATCTCCATCAGGAAACCTCCCTGGTACCAATTATCATAATTCAGAAGATTGTGCTCTTTCTCTGACAAAGAAATCTCGATTTGATGAAGGCATTCAAGGTATTCACATAACTAATGGTTTAGAAAATATTGAACTAGCGCGGAAAGATGAGTCTTCCTTCAAGAACAAAGGTTTTCACAAGAGAAAAAGTCAAAACCCTATTAAGTGTGCTGTGACCAGCGATGATGACATGCAATATGTTTCTACCGATGAGTCTTCAACTGATACTTTCATTGACCAAGTTGACGACGAAAATGGTCTTCTGGAGTCTAAGTCCGACGATTATACCTCAGATTTCCAGTATGAATCAAAATATGATGATTTTGATAAAGACGAGCAGACGACTGAAGAAGAGAAAAAATGTGATGATCACAAGACATTGATGGACGAAGTCAGACAAAATCAAGAACCATCAGCTAATGGAAATGACGAGCAGGAAACTGCCACAGATATGACTAAAAAGAACACTACAGAGCAAACTGATATAAGTGAGAATCCATTGCGCCATCTAGAAACTCTATCCCTGGGGGCTTTTACAAGCATGGTTTCAACAACACGAAATGTTATCAGCCAACATTCTTTATCTTCTATTAGCGGAGTTTCATTTCATGCCCCTGGGTTGGGTCTTGCAGCACCCCAAAGAGCCAACAGTCCGCCTCGTCACAGCAACACCTCACCATTGGAAGGTCCCACAACATCCACGAATTCTGTTGCACATACAGTTCAAACATTGACCACAGCTGACCAGGACTCGAATCCTAACGACCAAGTTCCCTTGATTTCGGTGTACCGGGACGCCTCTATGGTAGGTTCTATTGAAGTTCCGGTCGACAAGGAGAATCCAAGAAGGTGTATCGCTTGTGGGAAGATATTCCAGAACCATTTTGGAGTGAAGACACACTATCAAAATGTGCATCTCAAGCTGATGCACAAATGTACAGTTGAGGGTTGCAATGCAGCATTTCCTTCTAAACGTAGTCGAGACAGACATAGTGCCAACCTTAATCTTCATCGGAAGTTACTTTCTACTAGCTCAGACAAAACTTCTCCTTTCCTGGATAAGAACAACCTCTACCCATTTCACCCAAGTGCGTTTAGAGAAGACATATTTTCCAGGTTCTATGATCCACAAGCTCTGCCACTGAGTTTTGCAGATCTCTACCATGGAAGAATACCCACTTGTGGCCCTGAAGGATTTTTATCAAACCCTGCTTTTGCTAACCACTTAGGTGTTGGAGCGGCCCTTGGAGCTGTTCCTCCTTTTCATCCCGCCTTCATGGCCCCAGTAACTACAACAAATACCTCAATGTCAGAGGGTTTTGTTGGATTAAGTGGAGCTAGTGGGCGAGAAACTCCCAGTAGTTCACTGACTACTTCCCCCAGTCCTCAACCCCAAACCCCTAAATCAAATATACAAAACCACTCCTCCATACGTTTGGATGAAGAACTGTTTCCGGATCCAAAAGGGAAGTTTTTTTGTGTGTTTTGTCAGAAGACTTATCACGAAGCAATGATGCTCAGAGAACATTATGAAAAATATCACTCAGAAGACTTATTAATATGTAATGTAGATGGTTGTGGTAAAGCTTTTCTTTCCAAAAAGGCTATGAACTCTCACAGCAAAGATGACAATGTACACATGCATAGCAGAGATAGACCACACGCGATTTCTTAAATGATTAAGACTTACAGAATCCTAAGTTGTCGAACAGTTGTTGGTATTGTTAAAACTGTGATGACATATGGTATATATATGAGACAACAAATGTACATTTAGGGGTTCTATGAGATGTATAGATGTTGTGACGTTCTCCGTTGCAACTAATGTTGCAGAAACAAGATTTTCTATAGTGTAGTACATATCTCATAGTAGCCCCATTAGCACTTCGTAAAGAAAAAACTGTGAATTACATGAGCATATTACTATTACAGGGCCCATGTGACGAAAAGGGGGCTTAAAATATAGGTTGTTTGTGTACACTAAGTCAGACTATAGAGATCCTAAGTGAAAAATATCCATGCATATTATTCTCTTCATAACACTTTATTGTATATAGATTTTCTTTCGATCAGGATCTTACAGTTTCTAGTTATAGATGGACAGATTTTTTTCTTCCATGTTACATGTATTTTATTCCTGTTCTCGTATTTGATCTGAAGTTTATATAGATGTTTGTGGTTCATTCTTGGGTGTATGGTTGAATACTATTTGTCATTATATACACACTCTCTGTTTCTGCTTTCTCAGCGTCGTATTTTTCATTAAATATTACACTTCTTACTCTTGTGAAAGTAATACAGAAGGATTTCTTATATTTACTAGATATATATCGTGTTATGGGCTTCTGCTCAAAACCTGCAATGGATGATCTTCCAAACAAAGGTTCAGAATTACAACTTTCTTAAGGTATTCAGGAGTTTTATATTGCCTTCCTTCTCGGTGGGAAAAACATTAGTTTTCAGTTAGCTTTTCTTTATCATGGTTAGAAACGTGATATTTATTGAAATGTGATTTTCTTTGAAGTGTGAATCTTGAAACTTATTATTCATTCAGTCATATTATGTAGTGTTCTTATTACACGTAATTTTCCCTTTTCATTTTCAATTGCTGATAGGTTAATAATAATAAATGAAATCGTTCAATTATATTACGGGCAAACAGCAACAAGGTTGAATGTGTATATATAGTTGGAGTCTTTCAAGGTTCTTTAAATGTCTGCCCGGTTTTGGAAATTTTTTTTCTTGACAGTTTATAACTGTTTATGTGGGACTAAAGGTGTTCCATGCAGACCTATGAATGAAATATTCATTCCTTTAGAGTTTGTTCAGCGTAATTTAAGTTATTAATATACCCAAAGCTTAAGACGCCCTCTTTCTTTCCACATAGAGAGAGAGAAAAGGTTTAATGTAAGTGTTTATATTTTGTGGGCTTGAGTACGTCTACAGTGTCTGTTCAAGAAAAAAATCCCAGGTTGAAATAAAAATACGTTGTTGTTTCTGTGTATGAGGCTATGCCTGACTTGAAGAACACCTAGTGTTTTTGAATGGCACATTACATAAATTGACTTTCTTAATGAACATAACCTTACTAATCATCTTCACCACAAATAATTAGTGCTTTCTATCTCTATTATGTATAGAAAATTTGATGAAAATTATATTTACTTTCAGTGACTATATAGTACGTTTTACAAAAAGAAAGAAAAGAAAAACACTTGATAAGGTTTGGGCTCGAAAGGTTACTGAGAAATAAACCAGGTGGCGCTATGTGGTACAACATTTTCTAAACCTATGTAAGAAAAGGGACGCTGTATAAACTTCGAACACATTTACGTATAAATAAATAAATAATAGTAGAGAAACTTATATATTAGCTTTAGAACTATCTAACACACATATCTCAAAATATGTTAAGAAGGATATTTCTTGCAAAAAATCTGTATACAACTGAAACATTGAAACGAAAAATTGCATAGCCACGTCTGTTTTTTTATGTATATCATTACTCCATACCTACAAAAAAAATGTTTTCGTGGTTCTACCTGCACTTCTGTTCACAGCAAAAATAATACAAGTATGCCTCACTGGAAAGTTTATAAATAATTTTTTTTCAAAGAAAGCTCTTACGAAAAAGAACACATACATATATATATATTATTATAAAGGACAAAAGATGCGCATATTTAATAACACATTTTATTTGTTTAATTTCGTAGCAATTACTATAATCCATAGTTTTTAAAACAAGCAAAATATTCAGAATAAAAATGACGAATTAATATACGAGAAGCAAAAAAAAAAATTATAAAATCACACCGAAGTATCTTGAAATATCAACCATAAACATTCAAAATAATCCATAAATAAAATATCAAAATTGATTTTAAAATATATAACTCTAGTTATATGGCAAACTAATTAAAAAGTACACAATTAATTTTAGTATTTGATTTTTTTTAAACCTTATACCATACATCGGTCAAACGGCCATGTCAAATATCCCTAAGGTTCAGGTATAGCCATTCTTAATTTGGAACTGATGACCAGAATAGCGAAATTGGATGCCAAAGTACCTTCCCATAGTTTAAGGTTTGTTTGTGTGTGCCTTGTCATAGCAAATCCACACTGGGATATCTACTGTGTCCATCAAGGGGAATCGAACTCCTGATTTTAGCGTTGTAAGTCCGTAGAGTTGCCGCTGTCCCAACGGGGGACAAATGAAGATGCGGAGCATATCGAAGTATGAACTTTGGATCTCCGATTTGCAGCCCAGCACGCTATCCATCAGGCCACACCTAGTCAATAAATTTTGGATTTAAAGCCTATGATCTCACTAGAAATTACGAATATTAAATATCAATGGAGTAGAATGAACTACGTATTCTCTTTTATAATTTGCGTTAAATTAGTTTTAACAACTATTTTATAATTCAAGAAATACCTCTTATCCTGACTTAAAATAAGAAATATGTTATACATACATATGTATATAGTACAAAAATAATTTGTATACTAATAACAAATTCCATTCGAAATGTCTAATCATAAGTAGTTTGTAACGTCATAAACCACTGCCAATCAAGTAACCTATACTAATAACAAATTCCATTTGAAATGTCTAATCATAAGTAGCTTGTAACGTCATAAACCACTGCCAATCAAGTAACCTATACTAATAACAAATTCCATTCGAAATGTCTAATCATAAGTAGCTTGTAACGTCATAAACCACTGCCAATCAAGTAACCTATACTAATAACAAATTCCATTCGAAATGTCTAATCATAAGTAGTTTGTAACGTCATAAACCACTGCCAATCAAGTAACCTACCGTTTCAGGTGAAAATTGCTTTGATGGATAAAATACTTTTTCTACGATTTGGCAATAATACAAATTTTAGTAAAACTTGTTAATATCAGAACAAGATACATTTAAAGTACACTACGTGAAAAATACAGTACGATACATATTGCAATATCCAACAAGAAGAGAGATAACGAAGTGGGTAAAATACGATGGAATACACGAGTTCAAATCTGAACTGAAAGAAGATCTACGAATCGTTTTTTGTTGGTTGTTTTTTTTGCGAATCTGCGTTCTAATTATTGTTTCATGACATCAAACTGTCATCTTGATAATATCATCTTCTAAAAGAGTGATTCCCAAACGTTCCCAACTCACGACCCACGTGGTTATTCTTCTAATGTATTTCAGTAAAGTCTAGCAGTGTTTTTTACATTTTGTGCTTATGTTTTGTTTGTTCAAAAAAACATTTAAGACCATTATTTTATGAATACCTTTAAGAAGATATATTTACTATGTCTTTTTTTGCTGTTCTGGAGTACATTGGGTATGAAATATATGGTATCACTTTGTAGGAAAAATAAAACTTTTATATAAAAAACAGTTCACCTAAAAGAACATAGTTAGTAAACAGCGTTACATATAAAACATTAATATATTTATATAGAACTGTATGTTGTGAATTATTATTACACCAAAATCTTCAATTGTTGTAAACTTATTACGTAGAACAACGAATGTTGTTTGTTAATAGATAGGACTTCCGTTCAAACAATAACGAAAATGCTTTTTTTTAGAATAAACGTTACAATAATCAACCTGGAACCAGAAACTTAATAGGATATAACTAGTACGAAACGTTCAAAGTTATATTAGCAAAAACGGTTTAAATGGAATTACAGTTGTCAACTTGAACGGTTGGGTAAGAGAACCTTAGGATCCAGGTATAGCCATCCCTAAGTTTCAGTTGCTGACCAGAGGAGGAGCAGCCAGCCAATACCACCCACCACCTAAAGTGTTGGTCAAGTTTTTTGAACCGAATAACGATATTAATTGTTACTTTTATTGCGAAGCGTATTCAGCTATATTATGATTCAAAATTTGCACTGTACAATACGCAGCCCGATACGTTTGGCACTAAAACTGACAACGGAGTTGTTTCGTCGTTTCGATACAATTCGAGATTTGTGATGAGTAGTTATTTCAAACTTACAAAAATAAAAATTATTTGATTTTTCTACATATCGATCTAATATCAAGCCCAACGCTTAACTCTTCGGCGACTGAGCCAAACGTTCGTAGTAAATAAAGTTGCGAAAGCAGTATTATTTTACTTATTATTATTCAATTGATACAAATAGCGCGAAGTTTCGCAAAGAAATGTCGAGAAAGGAAATGTAAACATGAGAATCCAGTATGTTCGACGCTACTTTTTCACCAAACATCGTGTTTTATTGAAGTTGGACTATACCTCTGGTTTTAACACACACTTTCTCAATTGCCAACTAAGTCAGTAGTGCACAAATGTAGAAAATATCTCACATTGACGTGACAGTGCATCGTGTTTTATGTGAAGTGTAACTTTCATGTTAATACTGACTTCATATATAAAGGGTAATATAACAATCTGCTAACATAATCGTTTTGAAACTTGCGAACAACTTGTAAGTTAAGTGAAATAGTCTTTAGGCTAAAAGCATGATAGAAGGTTACAACCATCTACGAATCAAAAGTTTTAAAAGACAAAATTATATGTTAACAAATAATGATATTACCAGTGTAACATTTTGTTTGGATATTAAACTCTTCTTAATATTTCCCTCTGACATAAAGTTAAAAAATATTTAAACCAGTAAACACAATATATATATATATTAACGTATAATGTATAGTGTACTCGTTTTATAGTTAGGCCTATAACTAAAGGAGAATCACACCTGTTGTTGCAACAAGCTAATGCTTAATGGATTAGGGCTAATAATTGGAACTTTGCACTTAATCAGGCTCCCACCCCTACATGTCGTAAATGACACGTTTTCAAGAGACATGTGTATATAACATTACTTGATTGATGTGCTTGTTAAGATCAATTATGCTTCTCTTACCTTTAGATTTGGTAATAATTCTCTCAACACAAATGCTTAATTTGCTCTGACCTAAATATTTTGTTTAGGCCTAGAAGATAAATAAAACTTCAATAAGCAAGACTGCACATGTAGCCTAAATTATGCACTATATTGACTTAGATAATCCGCCATGACGTCTCACTAGCCAGACCAACAGCACGGAGTTTCAAAATGTGGTCTTGTCGAATATTAATAGCATTTCCTCAATAAATTAAAGGGTTACTTGTATCCCTAATGGGTTTATATACAGCTGTCCCATGGTCACGTGATGTCCAAGTTTTTACTACTTAGACTACCGCCTATCGAGTTTGCTTTAATGACTTCTTCGTACGAACGACAGAAGCTTGAGTTATTACTTATCAAATCATGCAGTACGTCTCCACAAATCAGTTATTACGTCAGTTTACGTATCTGAAACCAGATACAGCAATGCTCTCAAGCCGTCACAAGCAAAAATAAATCTCGCGCTGTATGATTTAACACACACATATATATATTGTTTACATATTTTCCCAAACCATAAAAAATTGTTTTACTCCCCAGCTCCACCCTCTTCAACAATTCGGCCACCAGATTTCATTTATAGCTAAACTTGTTTGTTTTTTTACATCTAAAAATATACAATTTATACTTTTATCAGTTAATTGTTGTCAGAATCGATTTTTGTTATTCTCGTCGACTTTATGTTTGTTTGTTTTGAATTTCGCGCAAAGCTACACGAGGGCTATCTGCGTTAGCGTCACTAATTTAGCAGTGTAAGACTAGAGGGAAGGCAGCTAGTCATCACTATCCACCGCCAACTCTTGGGCTACTCTTTTTACCAACGAATAGTGGGATTGACCGTTACATTATAACGCCCCCACGGCTGAAAGAGCGAGCATGTTTGGTGTGACGGGGACTCGAACCCGCGACCTTCAGATTGCGAGTCGAGCGCCCTAACCACCTGGCCATGCCGGGCCCGACTTTATGTGAAAATTAAAGTCTAAAATAATTCGTTCTCTACTTAAGTTAAGCCTGAGACGAGGATGTTTC